TTGGAGGGTCAGTTGCATGAGAGTTGGCTCGTGGACGGGACGTATGGGAGGACGAGGGGCTGACGTACTAGTCAGTAGGGAGGAAGAGGTGCGCACCAACGAGGGTGATTATGTGGCTAATTTGGAATGGCCCGCAATATCTTGGGCGTAATTTCGGGGTCACGCGCACGCATAGGTTCCTTTTATCAACTAGGACTAGGTCTCCAGGTTGGTATGAGATGGGGTAGCGGTGGTGATCGACGTTGCACTTAGCGATCGGGTTGGATTCTATACTGCGTCTATTGCACATGTCCGGGCTGCTTGTAAAATTCCGCCGAACTGCTGTGTGCAAGCGACGGGGCTGTCGGGGGCGTTATCGTGACTATGGAGTCTTGTCCCTAGTTGAGATAAAACGGGGAATGTTGGGTGTGTCAGAATGTTGTATTTGTCTAGCCTGCAGTGGGGTACTCTATAGCGAGTACAGCCCAATCTAGGGTTTCCTATATGTACTCAACTGCTTGCTAGTGCAATCCTCCTTTCTGCTTCTAAACTTTTCCTCGTATTTGTGATATGGTATCAGAGCGTGTCCTTCCTTGGCCTGTGGGCCCACCAACCTGCTTCCGTTGCTACTTGATCTGTCGCACGCCCCGTGGCGTGCGACCTATGGCGCGCGGCGGTTTACTCTCTGGCGCGCGCCCCGGGGCGCGCGGCCCCTTTCCTTCCTGGCGCGCCGCCCCCGCTGTTTCGTCGCGGCGCCCTAGGGAGCCGCGCGCGCCCCCCGCCCGTCCGTTGCGACGCCCTGGGGTGTCGCGCGCGGCCCCTGCCGTCCTGTCGCGGCGCCCGGGCAAGGCGCGCGCGGCCCCTGCCGTCGCGTCGCGGCGCTCTGGTGTCGCGCGCGGCCCCTGCCGTCCTGTCGCGGAGCCCTGGGAGCCGCGCGCGACCCCCCACTACCTCGTCGCGGCGCCCAAGGGAGCCGCGCGCGGCCCCTCGCTGCCCCGTGGTGGCGCCCTGGGGGCCGCGCGCCGTCCCCCTCGCCGTCCCCCGCGCTCCTACCCGCTGCCACCCGTTTTAGGGTTTGGGGGTGGGGAGTGTGGGGGTGGCGGTTGTGGGGGTGCCGGTTGGTGTCTCTGAAGGAGTCGTCTTCAGTAGCAAAATGCGGTGAGAATCGCCGATGGTGCCTTGCGCTGAGAACCGCAGTACGAAGACCCCGTCGTTGTCAACCGCTTTGCCGATGTAAGTGTTGTTGTAGAAGAGTTCGAAGGTCTTATCTTTGCGATTACTTCGAATGTCGACTCCGCACCGCATGAGCTGCGCCGAGGAAAGCAGGTTGTACCGCAGATCTGGAGCGACGAGCACGTCACCAATGTGGATTGTGAATCTTGTGTCGTCAGCTTCAAGGAAGATCTCACCGATGTCGTATGCTTTGAGTGTGCCGTTGTTTGCTACTGTGATCTCGCAGGGTCGTCTCATGCGTTTGGAGTTGCTGATGAACGTTGGCGATCCCATCATGTGCTGTCCGCAGCAACTATCCAGGTACCAGGTGTTAATGTGCTCGCAGCTCTGTCGCGCGATGTTGGCGATTTTCGGCGTAACCACGCGATCCCTTTCGCCGGTGTATGGCGAGAGGGCGAAGTACCGGTTCGCCGAGATGCTGGGAGGTGATTCCGGTGTCGGTGGTGGAAGCTCGAAGTCAGGAGGGTACCTTTGTGTTTCGTCGATCCACGTTTGAACAGTGGGATCATTGTCTTGTCTGGGTGCAACAGGGTCAATGGGATCGTCAGACGCGAATGTTAACCGATCGTAGTATCGAAATCCTCTGTTGCGGCAAGCCATGCAACTCATGATTGTCCCTTTGCCTTTGTCCTTGGTCGTAATGCGTGCAGGTGTCTGCGAGGTGCTTGCGACGGAGGGAGTCGAGACGGTGGTTGTTGCGGCGGAAGAGGTTGAAGCCGGTGAGGATTGAAGGCTCGAAGGGTTATTGCGTCTTTCGTCGGCAGCCTTTCGCTTGTAGCACCGATCGATAGTGTGCCCAGGCTTCTTGCAATACTTGCAGAAAGTTCTTTTCTTTCCGTGTTGCTCCCCTTCAGTTGTTCCAAGGTAGAAGACTAACTTCTCCCGCTTGGTGTTCTTCTCGTTGTACAGGTCGATCTCCTTTTGCTCAGAGAGGAGTGTGGCGCACAGGGCCGATTCGTAGACAGTTGCTCGAGCGCGGAGCAAGGATTGGCATTGACGCCAGTCGGGTCCGAGGCCGGAAAGGACCATTGGGAAGAACATGTCGTCTGGGACTGATCCGCTGCACTTCTTGATGTGGTCGCGCAGATTGCGGCACCGGTTGATATATGGTCCCGCTTTCTCCCCTTGATGCATTTTGACCGATGTGAGCTGGCTGAGAAGGCGACTCATAGTAACTGGATCTGTTGCCATGTATGAGTTGCGCAGGTGCTCCCAGGAGGCGTACGCGGGCGCCCACTCTGATTTGTAGGAGCGAATGCCGAGCTGTTCGTCGGGGGAGAGATTTTGGAGCAGAGTGGTGTACACGAGAAGAGATTCGTGGTATTATTGGTTCTTCTCTTGGATGGTGCCTTCCGTTGGAAACGGTAAGCTCCCATTGTTGTACATCCAAATTTGCGCAGTTGTCGCGAGGAGTTCAAACTCGAAGCTCCAAGTGTAGAAATCCTTTCCGTCGAAAGGAACTGATGTTTTCAGCTTTGATGTCAGAACGAATTTTGTCTGCATTGTTGCAATCGTGTCTGAGTGTGCGCGTTGTTGACCATCTTGCGCAGGAGCTGAAGCTTGACGGTTGTCAAACGTGAATGATCTCTCGGAGTTGACGTGGCGGTCTTCTCCAGGGAGAGGTAGTCCAGCAACCCCACGTGCATAGCTTGAACCATCAATGCTCATGGCTTGATGGCTCTCAAGAGCATTGATGCGGGCGACCAGCTGTTCAACGAGAGCGGCGCTGACGGAGGTCATCGCATATGGTGCAGTTGGTGTTGTTGGTGGTGGGCCCGGAGAGTCTGCAGTGGCTTTTCCTTCTGGAGCCATAGTGATGTAGAGTCTTTAATGATGTATGAGTAATTTATAAGAAGGATGTTCTATTGAGAACAAGAACTTAACAGGCCTTATAATCCACTCTAGCTCTCATACCATGATGTTATGACTGAAGGATCATAGTGGATAGGATAATGCTTGCCAAGTATGAGAGAGAACTATGAAGTCTCTGTAATGACCTTGTTAATAAATTGAAAGAGAACAAGATGATTATAGGATAGAAGTACAAAGGTATAAATAGCATTCCTAGCTAGTCATGTACTCTGAGGGGTACATTCCCTTATTAACTGAATTGCATTGCTACAGTAACCACGACTATTGCCATTCTAGACAGTTACCATGTTGCACTTCGTAACTGCCTTGTGCGGTTACTGGGCAGTCAAGGGTCACGACCGTTGACTGTCTTCGACTGTTGACCTTCGGGTGACCCTCAACCTTCCGCGTGCTCTATATGAGCTAGTGCGGTACTGGTACAAGCGCCTTCGTTATGAAAAGACGCGACAGTGGAGAGCCTTCGGGAATGCTTATAATAACCTTTCAGTTATTCCAACAGTCCTCATCGACTATCTTAGCAGCATATATTTCCACAACATCAATGGGCTTTCATAAGGCCTTCTTTGGGGGTGGTGGTAGTGTAGGAAACAAAAATTCTTGCTTCGCGTCATCACCTCTACCGCGTACATCATTGTTCTCGCCAGTACAACCAGACCGCGTTTCGTTGCCACCACCTCACAACATTCGCCTCTACTACTGTTTTATCACCACCACCATCACCGTCGCTCCCAAACCATACGGCTCGTCCGGTATCCCAAGTTCCGGCACTGTGCCACGATAACCCGATAACTCCCAACCTCAACGTTAGTCCCTTAGGCCACGAATTTGATTGGTTTTTACCGTTATCATCTTGTGTCGCTAATAAAAAATTCGTGAATACTATAAATTTGCTTCGATAGTGCAATATTTTCCCTATCGTTGACCTCGTAGCACAAAGCAAGATTAGCACCTTACCAAGAGCAGCTTCGTCACACCGCAGAATCCAACAAGGTAAGTCTTTCAAGCGGAGACGCTTCTGACGGGAATAGAAGTGAACAGTGAAAAAGAGTTAGGACCGGGGACCCCACCACTGTACATCCCGTTTTGCACCGAGACCGTGAACCGGCATAACCAAGGCTGGACCGCGCCTGAACATAGAATACCGCATAGAAACGCTGTGCCATCATCTGCATCTTCTGCACCCCACGGTGCTGTACGGAGATTCTCGACAGTTGCTGTCAGTGAGTAGAGGCTAACTACTCACCTAGAAGCTGTACGGACTCTCACGTGTAGTAGTTGCTGTTCCGACCTGTAGGTTCCCAAACTAGGGAGTAATGCATTGACTGGAAACAAGACACTTTTTTGGCAATGCTAGGCGATTTCTGCTGCGGTTGCTGACCAATCGCCGGTGTCGGATCGCATCAGCTGCTGCTTTCGAGTTTTGAGACGCCTCAAAAGTCGCGTAAAAACTCAATTCCTACTCGATTCCTGCTGCTGTGGGTGCTGACCGACCGGTGTCGGATCGCCTCGACTCTTGCTGTCGTGAACTGAGCGGCACGCGTCGAGTTATTGAACGCGGAAGGAAACGTGGTGGGAACATGGCCGAAAGGCGGCGAGCGGGAGGGGTGAGTCATAGCTATTCGAGTCAATATTATTCCTCGATACAAGTCGTAGCTATTCGAGTATTTTCGATAGGATCACTCGCCGATGACGTACCAGTCGAGACTGTTACTTGATGATCGGATGAAAGCAAATTTAGAGCAGCTTGCTTGCTGTTTTGAGACGTCTCAAAACTCAATATTAGAGCAGCTTGCTTGCGATGCGAAGAAGGCCGGCATTACAATGTCGGCATAGACGGAACGCCGTTTGGCGTCAGGTGACGCCGGCAGGCTGGACGTTAACGTTAACGTTTACGTCCATTGGTCAGTTTTCCGTTCATGGCTTCATACTGTCGCACTGTCGTCCCTTCCGCTATTCCCTCCCGCTCCTTCTCCCCATTCCGCCTGGATCCTCCTCTCTTCCCCCACATCTGCTCCCCCGCTCTGCTCCCCACCCCTGTTCCCCCTCCCTGTTTCAACCTCCCAGTGTTTCCCTCCCCATTCTCCTTCCTAGTTCCCCTTCCCAGTTCCCCGCTTATTTCCCTCTCCAGTACCCCCTTCCCGTTCCCTCCTCCTGTTTCGCGTCCCTGTTCTCCGATTCCTCTTCTACTCTCCCTCTTCCCTTCTCCCTCCAACCCCCACCCCCGTCCCCACCCCATGGGGTGCAAGCGCGCAATCCGCCCGCCCCAAAATCCACACTCTGCTTCCCCCATCCCCCCCTCATCCCCCCTTCCCTCGTTCCTTCTTTCCTCTTCTCCCCTCCCTCCACCCTCGATCCCCCACTTCCTGCGCCCCCAGCCACGCCCCCTCACCATGGGGCGCAAGCGCGCAGCCTTTGTCTCACAGTCTTCCCTTATTCCCCCCTTCCCTCTCTCCCACCTCCCTTTTCTCCCTCCCCTTCCCCCATTACCCCTTCCCCCCAGCCCCGTCCCCTGACCATGGGGCGCAAGCGTGCAGCCCTCCCCCGCCTGCTCTCCCCCAGCACTTCCCCCTTGGGCTTTGGGGGCGGAGGGGATGGCTCCAGCGCAACTCTCAAGATAACTCCCGTTGGCCTCATTGTCCCCCTCCCCTTCTTCCTCCCTTTTCCCCCTCCCCTTTTTCCTCCTTGTTCCCCCTCCCCTCCTTGTTCCCCCTCCTCGCTCTCCCTTTCCCCATCCCTCCCCTTGCTCCCCCCCAGCCCCGTCCCCTGACCATGGGCGCAAGCGCGCAGCCCTCCCCCGCCTGCTCTCCCCCAGCGGTTCCCCTTGGGCTTTGGGGGCGGGGTGGATGGCTCCAGCGCAACTCTCAAGATAACCCCCCTTGGCCTCACAGCTCCCCTCCCTCCCCTGCTCCCCCTCCCTGTTCCCCCTCCCTGTTCCCGTCCTCTTTTCCCCTCCTTGATCCGCCTCCCCTCTCCTACTTCCCTCTCCCCCCTCCCCTTTCCCCCCCCCCCCCAGCCCCGTCCCCTGACAATGGGGCGCAAGCGTGCAGCCCTCCCCCGCCTGCTCTCCCCCAGCACCTCCCCCTTGGGCTTTGGTGGGGGAGTGGATGGCTCCAACGCAACTTTCAAGATAGCCCTTCTTGGGCTCGCTGCCTGCCTTTTCTGCCTGCTCATCCTCGTTATAGTCGTCCTCTTTGCCCTGGTAAGTCGTTTCCATTATAAGCACCCTTTCCCATCCCCTGCTCCTTCCCCTGTCCATCATCCCCGTCCTGCCACGTGATAGAAGTGATGTTTTGAGACATCTCAAAACATCCTTCCCGTCCCGCCTCCGTTTTCCTGTTGTGGCTCGTATCAAATCAACTCCCTTCCTCCCCTCCTTTTTATGTGCCTCAAAACTCGTGTTGAGGCGCCTAAAAATTCTGTCCATACTTCCCGTCCCGCCTCCCTTTCCCTCCCTTGGCTCGTACGTATCAAAACAGCTCCCTTCGTCCCCTCCCTCCCTGCCGTGTCCTGCGCTGCTCGTCCTCCCGGACAACAGCTCATCAGCAGGAGGTGGTCGTCTCGTCTGCTGGCAGCTACCTCATCACCTCCCCTGTCCATTCTACCCTCTGCTTACACCCTTCTCTCCCTTCCTCCCCTCCCTCCCTGCGCTGCTCGTCCTCCCGGACAACAGCTCATCAGCAGGAGGTGGTCGTCTCGTCTGCTGGCAGCTACCTCATCACCTCCCCTGTCCCTTCTACCCTCTGCTTACACCCTTCTCTCCCTTCCTCGCCTCCCTCCCTGCGCTGCTCGTCCTCCCGGACAACAGCTCATCAGCAGGAGGTGGTCGTCTCGTCTGCTGGCAGCTACCTCATCACCTCCCCTGTCCATTCTACCCTCTGCTTACACCCTTCTCTCCCTTCCTCCCCTCCCTCCCTGCGCTGCTCGTCCTCCCGGACAACAGCTCATCAGCAGGAGGTGGTCGTCTCGTCTGCTGGCAGCTACCTCATCACCTCCCCTGTCCCTTCTACCCTCTGCTTACACCCTTCTCTCCCTTCCTCGCCTCCCTCCCTGCGCTGCTCGTCCTCCCGGACAACAGCTCATCAGCAGGAGGTGGTCGTCTCGTCTGCTGGCAGCTACCTCATCACCTCCCCTGTCCATTCTACCCTCTGCTTACACCCTTCTCTCCCTTCCTCCCCTCCCTCCCTGCGCTGCTCGTCCTCCCGGACAACAGCTCATCAGCAGGAGGTGGTCGTCTCGTCTGCTGGCAGCTACCTCATCACCTCCCCTGTCCCTTCTACCCTCTGCTTACACCCTTCTCTCCCTTCCTCCCCTCCCTCCCTGCGCTGCTCGTCCTCCCGGACAACAGCTCATCAGCAGGAAGTGGTCGTCTCGTCTGCTGGCAGCTACCTCATCACCTCCCCTGTCCCTTCTACCCTCTGCTTACACCCTTCTCTCCCTTCCTCCCCCCCCTCCCTGCGCTGCTCGTCCTCCCGGACAACAGCTCATCAGCAGGAGGTGGTCGTCTCGTCTGCTGGCAGCTACCTCATCACCTCCCCTGTCCCTTCTACCCTCTGCTTACACCCTTCTCTCCCTTCCTCCCCTCCCTCCCTGCGCTGCTCGTCCTCCCGGACAACAGCTCATCAGCAGGAGGTGGTCGTCTCGTCTGCTGGCAGCTACCTCATCACCTCCCCTGTCCATTCTACCCTCTGCTTACACCCTTCTCTCCCTTCCTCCCCTCCCTCCCTGCGCTGCTCGTCCTCCCGGACAACAGCTCATCGGCAGGAGGTGGTCGTCTCGTCTGCTGTCAGCTTTCTCATCACCTCCCCTATCCCATCTTCCCTCTGCTTACACCCCTGTCTCCCTTCCTCCCCTCCCTCCTTCCCTCCCTTGCGCTCTGCCAGCTCATCAGCATGCGGTGGTCGTCTGCTGACGTGGCTGCCAGCCTGGCAGCGCGAGAGTCTCTCAGTAAGTGATGGACAACCTTTGCGGCCTCTTGTCTGTCGCAGTGCAGGAATGACAGAAGGACAGAGAGTTCAGAGAAAGCTTTTGAGGCGCCTCAAAAGAACCTTTGAGGCCTCTTGTCTGTTGCAATGCAGGGGTGACAGATCAGCAGAGAGTTCAGAGAAAGCTTTTGAGGCGCCTCAAAAGAACCTTTGAGGCCTCTTGTCTGTTGCAATGCAGGGGTGACAGAACAGCAGAGAGTTCAGAGAAAGCTTTTGAGGCGCCTCAAAAGAACCTTTGAGGCCTCTTGTCTGTTGCAATGCAGGGGTGACAGAACAGCAGAGAGTTCAGAGAAAGCTTTTGAGGCGCCTCAAAAGAACCTTTGAGGCCTCTTGTCTGTTGCAATGCAGGGGTGACAGAACAGCAGAGAGTTCAGAGAAAGCTTTTGAGGCGCCTCAAAAGAACCTTTGAGGCCTCTTGTCTGTTGCAATGCAGGGGTGACAGAACAGCAGAGAGTTCAGAGAAAGCTTTTGAGGCGCCTCAAAAGAACCTTTGAGGCCTCTTGTCTGTTGCAATGCAGGGGTGACAGAACAGCAGAGAGTTCAGAGAAAGCTTTTGAGGCGCCTCAAAAGAACCTTTGAGGCCTCTTGTCTGTTGCAATGCAGGGGTGACAGAACAGCAGAGAGTTCAGAGAAAGCTTTTGAGGCGCCTCAAAAGAACCTTTGAGGCCTCTTGTCTGTTGCAATGCAGGGGTGACAGAACAGCAGAGAGTTCAGAGAAAGCTTTTGAGGCGCCTCAAAAGAACCTTTGAGGCCTCTTGTCTGTTGCAATGCAGGGGTGACAGAACAGCAGAGAGTTCAGAGAAAGCTTTTGAGGCGCCTCAAAAGAACCTTTGAGGCCTCTTGTCTGTTGCAATGCAGGGGTGACAGAACAGCAGAGAGTTCAGAGAAAGCTTTTGAGGCGCCTCAAAAGAACCTTTGAGGCCTCTTGTCTGTTGCAATGCAGGGGTGACAGAACAGCAGAGAGTTCAGAGAAAGCTTTTGAGGCGCCTCAAAAGAACCTTTGAGGCCTCTTGTCTGTTGCAATGCAGGGGTGACAGAACAGCAGAGAGTTCAGAGAAAGCTTTTGAGGCGCCTCAAAAGAACCTTTGAGGCCTCTTGTCTGTTGCAATGCAGGGGTGACAGAACAGCAGAGAGTTCAGAGAAAGCTTTTGAGGCGCCTCAAAAGAACCTTTGAGGCCTCTTGTCTGTTGCAATGCAGGGGTGACAGATCAGCAGAGACTTCAGAGAAAGCTTTTGAGGCGCCTCAAAAGAACCTTTGAGGCCTCTTGTCTGTTGCAATGCAGGGGTGACAGAACAGCAGAGAGTTCAGAGAAAGCTTTTGAGGCGCCTCAAAAGAACCTTTGAGGCCTCTTGTCTGTTGCAATGCAGGGGTGACAGAACAGCAGAGAGTTCAGAGAAAGCTTTTGAGGCGCCTCAAAAGAACCTTTGAGGCCTCTTGTCTGTTGCAATGCAGGGGTGACAGAACAGCAGAGAGTTCAGAGAAAGTGCCTGAACAGTAGAGCCTTCCGAGAACATTCCAATTCTAAGTAGTCACGAATAAGAGGCAGAGAATCAATGGGTGAGTGAGCGAGTGCGTGAGTGAGTGAGCATTTGAGCAATTTCCAATTCAATTCGTGGCTGAATGGAAGCGAGTGAGTGGGTGAGTAAGTGGTTGATGAGAACTTGTCAAATCATCTGCGTGCTCACTCGCTCTTGTCTGATTTGTCACTCATGACGGCTGAATGCCTGCATTTGCATGGCCTCTGTATCCTAAACCCGAAACCCTAACTCCTAAACCGGAAGCTCTCAACGTTTTCTCCTAAACCCGAAGCCCTAAACCCCCTGACCCTAAAGCCGAAATTTGAAACCCTACCTTGCTCGCCACATGCCTCTCTCTGCATCCTCCTGTCACTCCCGTACACTTTTCTGGGTGAACCCTGGTTGGACCCCCACCCTTGGTCCACCCATCCAGCCCTCCCTTCCAAGGCTTCCTCCCCTCTCTTTCCATTGCAGCTGCTGCACTGCTGGGATGGTGGAAGGCTCATACAGAGCCATGGTCCGTGCTTCATTTCTGTGAGTCCGTTTCCCCCCTCCTCACTCCCCCTCATTCCCCTCGTCCCTCCACCCTCCTATTTTCACCCCTCCTTGCAGCTGCTGAGTCGCTGAGAGGGAGGAAGGCGCATCCTGGCATGGTGGTAAATCAACAAGGCATGATGGTAAGTGCTCTCTTCATATCGTCTTCCTTTCCTCCCTTCCCTCCGCCCACCCCCACTCTCGGCCCTCTCCACCCCTCCGTGCAGCTGCTGAGTCGCTGAGAGGGAGGAAGGCGCATCCTGGCATGGTGATGAATCAGCAAGGCATGGTGGTATGTGCACCATCCATGTCTCTCTGTCGCTGGTAGAGTGACATTCAATTCGATACTCCCTCCCTTCCCTACTCCGGTCCACTTTTGAGATGACTTCTGAGACATCTCAGGAATCAGCAAGGCATGATGGTAAGTGCACAATCCGTCTCTCTCCGTCGCTGGTAGAGTGACATTCGTGGTGACTTTTGAGTCGACCCAATAGCCATGGTGGTAAGAGCTCCATCCATCCCTCTGTTGGTAATGGAGTGGAGTAGATTGACATTCGAGGTGACTTTTGAGTCGACCCAAAAGCCATCAACAAGGCAGGCATGGTGGTAAGTGCACCATCCGTCTCTCTGTCGGTGGTGGAGTGGAGTAGAGAGACATTCAATTCTCCCTCCCTACTCCGTTCAACTTTTGAGACGACTTTTGAGACGTCTAAAAAATCAGCCAGGCGTGGTAATAAGCGCACCATCCATCTCTCTGTCGGTGGTAGAGTGGAGGGACATTTGATTTGATACTCCCTCCCTTCCCTACTCCGGTCTACCGGGCCAGGTGTATATCGAATCGCTGAGAGGGAGGAAGGCGCATCTTGGCATGGTGGTGAGTGCACCATCCGTCTCTCTGTCGGTGGTAGAGTAGAGGGACATGCGATTCGATACTCCCTCCCTTCCCTACTCCGGTCTACCGGGCCAGGTGTATATCGAATCGACAGAATTGTGCATTTTGGCACAAATCTGCTAGAAAGTCCTCAACATTTGAGTCGACTCAAAAGCATTGTGCATTTTGGCACAAATCTGCTAGAAAGTCCTCAACATTCGCCACTGCCGCTGCTGGAAAGTGACAGTCTATACTCCCTCCCCCTGCTACTCTGTCCGCCCAGCCCAATTCCTCCGCTGCTGCAACTGTCGCCACCACTGCTGCCAACGCCACACCACACCACTGGCGCTGCTGCCAAATGACACTCTTTACTCCCTCCCCCCCCCGACTCTCTCTGCCTGCATTGAGGTCGTTTTTGAGGCGCCTCAAAAACCACACCACTGCCGCTGCTGCCAAATGACACTCTTTACTCCCTCCCCCCCCCAACTCTCTCCGCCCAGCCCAATACCACTGCTGCTGCAGGCAGTAGCAGCTCCCAAAATCCAAGCAAAAAGGCTAATAACGAGGACGGTGCAGCTAATGACGAGGATAGAGATCCAGCCGGCGGTGCTGACGACGACGACGAGGATGATGATGAGGCGGGCGGCGGGGGGCTGTCCAGCCGGCGGAAGGAAGGTGCGCGGAAGCTTCAGCAGTGGAGGGAGTTTTTCAGAGGGGTGGTGCTCGTGCTGCATTTTTCCAGGTGAGTTGGAGGCGTGGAGATGAGTGCTGGTGAGAATGGGTGAGTTGGAGGCGTGGAGATGAGTGCTGGTGAGAATGGGTGAGTTGGAGGCGTGGAGATGAGTGCTGGTGAGAATGGGTGAGTTGGAGGCGTGGAGATGAGTGCTGGTGAGAATGGGTGAGTTGGAGGCGTGGAGATGAGTGCTGGTGAGAATGGGTGAGTTGGAGGCGTGGAGATGAGTGCTGGTGAGAATGGGTGAGTTGGAGGCGTGGAGATGAGTGCTGGTGAGAATGGGTGAGTTGGAGGCGTGGAGATGAGTGCTGGTGAGAATGGGTGAGTTGGAGGCGTGGAGATGAGTGCTGGTGAGAATGGGTGAGTTGGAGGCGTGGAGATGAGTGCTGGTGAGAATGGGTGAGTTGGAGGCGTGGAGATGAGTGCTGGTGAGAATGGGTGAGTTGGAGGCGTGGAGATGAGTGCTGGTGAGAATGGGTGAGTTGGAGGCGTGGAGATGAGTGCTGGTGAGAATGGGTGAGTTGGAGGCGTGGAGATGAGTGCTGGTGAGAATGGGTGAGTTGGAGGCGTGGAGATGAGTGCTGGTGAGAATGGGTGAGTTGGAGGCGTGGAGATGAGTGCTGGTGAGAATGGGTGAGTTGGAGGCGTGGAGATGAGTGCTGGTGAGAATGGGTGAGTTGGAGGCGTGGAGATGAGTGCTGGTGAGAATGGGTGAGTTGGAGGCGTGGAGATGAGTGCTGGTGAGAATGGGTGAGTTGGAGGCGTGGAGATGAGTGCTGGTGAGAATGGGTGAGTTGGAGGCGTGGAGATGAGTGCTGGTGAGAATGGGTGAGTTGGAGGCGTGGAGATGAGTGCTGGTGAGAATGGGTGAGTTGGAGGCGTGGAGATGAGTGCTGGTGAGAATGGGTGAGTTGGAGGCGTGGAGATGAGTGCTGGTGAGAATGGGTGAGTTGGAGGCGTGGAGATGAGTGCTGGTGAGAATGGGTGAGTTGGAGGCGTGGAGATGAGTGCTGGTGAGAATGGGTGAGTTGGGTTGGGAATGTGCGACGGTGAGACTGGGTCAGCTGGGTTGGGTTGGGGGGATGGGGAAATGAGTGTTGGGGTTGGGAGTTGAGTTCTGTAAGCGCCTCTAGAGGGGTGGTTCTGGTGCTGCGCATTTGGGATGCGGACGGGGAAAGAAGTATTGGGGGTTGGGAGATGAGTTTTGAGGCGCCTCTAGAGGTGCGGTTCTGGTGCTGCGCATTTCCAGGTTGGTTGGGCTGGGGATGGGGAGAGCAGTGGGAATGGGTCAGTAGGGATGGGTATGGGCGATGGTGAGAATGGGTGACAGTTGGGCAGGGGATGGGGAAATGAGTGCTGGGGTTTGGTAGATGAGTTTTGAGGCGCCTCTGTAGGGATGGTTCTGGTGGTTCACTTTTCCTGGTCAGATGGGATGGGGAGATGAGTGTTGGGGGCGAGGAGATGTATGTGTGTGTAATGCCAGTGACTGCGGGCCAGTGAGTGCATGGTATGGCTTGATTTCTGCCGCAATGTGTACGGCCACGTACGTATTCAGCACTGCATGCCTGTTCCCTGCTGCCTGCTTCCCTGCCTCACTTGCTCTCATCCTCACCGCTACTAATTGCAGGCCAGTGCGGGCATGGCAGGCGCTGGCTTTTTGGCGCCACGTGTAGTTTTGAGTCGACTCAAAATTTGGCGCCACGTGTAGTTTTGAGTCGACTCAAAATTTGGCGCCACGTGTAGTTTTGAGTCGACTCAAAGTTTGGCGCCACGTGTAGTTTTGAGTCGACTCAAAATTTGGCGCCACGTGTAGTTTTGAGTCGACTCAAAATTTGGCGCCACGTGTAGTTTTGAGTCGACTCAAAATTTGGCGCCACGTGTAGTTTTGAGTCGACTCAAAATTTGGCGCCACGTGTAGTTTTGAGTCGACTCAAAGTTTGGCGCCACGTGTACGGCACATATTCCACGATCTGCGCTTTCTTGTGCTGCCCATTCCCTCCCTTACCCCGTTCTTCTCCTCCCCTCTCCCCGCTCCTACAGGCCAGTGCGGGCATGGCAGACGCTGGAGTTCTGGCGCCACGTGTACGGCCGCGTCTTTGACAATATGGTGACAGTGTCAACTGAAGCCATCCCCGAGCTGGGGGTTATTGCGGTATGCTCCCACCCAACCCAACCCAACCTCCCTTCCCGGCCCCAACCCTCGCCGCCCCCCTCCCCTTCCCCACCCCTTCCCATCCCCCCACCCGTCCCTCTCCCCCCTCCCCTCCCCTCCCCTCCCCTCCCCTCCCCTCCCCTCCCCTCCCCTCCCCTCCCCTCCCCTCCCCTCCCCTCCCCTCCCTCCCCTCCCCTCCCCTCCCCTCCCCTCCCCTCCCCTCCCCTCCCCTCCCCTCCCCTCCCCTCCCCTCCCCGTCCCTCCTCTCCCCTTCCTTCCAGCTCCTCAGTCTCCCCCTTTTTCCAGTAACGTTCTGTTCCTCTGCCCACTTCCACCCACTTCCACCCACTTCCACCCACTTCCACCCACTTCCACCCACTGGTTATGGAGCAACACGCCTCAGCCTCTCACTGCCTTGCGCTTTCCTGTGGGTTGTGGCAATGCGCCTATCCCACTCCCTACCTCACTCCCCAACCCACTCCCCAACCCAATCCCCACCCCACTCCCCGCCCCACTCCCCGCCCCACTCCCCGCCCCACTCCCCGCCCCACTCCCCGCCCCACTCCCCGCCCCACTCCCCGCCCCACTCCCCGCCCCACTCCCCGCCCCAATCCCCACCCCACTCCCCGCCCCACTCCCCGCCCCACTCCCCGCCCCACTCCCCGCCCCACTCCCCGCCCCACTCCCCACACTCCGGGCCCGACAACCTTTCCTTCCCCCGGCTCTCTCGTACACCGCTCTCCCCACCATCATGGAGCAACACGCCTCAGCCACCCACTGCCTCGGGCTTCCTCTGTCTGTTCTCTCTTGTGGCACTGCCCCTTCCCCCAGGCCACACCTCCCCAGCTGCCAACACCGATGCCTCTCTCTCCTACACCGCTCTCCCCACCATCATGCATGCAGCAACACGCCTCAGCCTCAGGCTTCCTCTGGTGTGGTGTGAACGCCTCTTCCCCACTGCCTCTGGCTTCCTCTGTCTGTTCTCTCTCGTGACACTGCCCCTGCGTACCCCAGGCCACACCTGTTGCCAACGCTGACGCCTCTCTCGCCTACACCGGTCTCCCCACCATCATGGAGCAACACGCCTCAGCCTCCCACTCCCCACCCCTCTGCTCGCCCCCCTCCCACTCCCCACCCCTCCCCAGGCCACACCCTCCCCTGCTACCAACACCGATGCCTATATCTCCTACACTGCTCTCCCCACCATCATGCATGCAGCAACACGCCTCAGCCTCACACTGCCTTGCGCCCTCCTCTCTCTTCCCGCCCCTTTTCCTCTTAATGCTCCCCCCAGGCAACACCCTCCCCTGCAACCAACACCGATGCCTCTCTCTCCTACACGGCTCTCCCCACCATCATGGAGCAGCACGCCTCAGCCTCTCACTGCCTTGCGCCCTCCTTCTCTCTCTCTTCCCGCCCCTTTTCCTCTTAATGCTCCTCCCAGGCAACACCCTCCCCTGCAACCAACACCGATGCCTCTCTCTCCTACACGGCTCTCCCCACCATCATGGAGCAGCACGCCTCAGCCTCGGGCTTCCTCTGGCTGGACGACGATGCAGTCTTGAACTACTGGGCCCTGGCTGATGCCCCTCTTGATAAGGTAGGCCCCTCCCCCTCTCCTTCATAATGAGGTACTCCCCACTCCCCTTCTCACCCTCGGGCTTCCTCTGGCTGGACGACGATGCAGTGTTGAACTACTGGACACTGGCCGATGCCCCCCTGGATAAGGTACGCCCCTCCCCTTCATAATGGGGTACTCACCTCATAAGGTACTCCCCTCCCCTTCACCTCACCACCCCCTTCCACCTCGGGCTTCCTCGGGCTTCCTCGGGCTTCCTCGGGCTTCCTCGGGCTTCCTGTGGACGACGATGCAGTTCTCAACTACTGGACGCTGGCTGATGCCTCACTGGATAAGGTACTGTCCTCACTATGCATAATAGCGCACACATCATACTCACCTTGTCTGCTCACCCTCGGGCTTCCTCTGGCTGGGCGACGATGCAGTGTTGAACGACTGGGTTCTGGCTGATGCCCTCCTTGATAAGGTATCCCTTATTCCCTGCTGCCACTCCATTCCACCCCCCTCCACCCCTCTCCACCCCCTTCCACCGCCCTCCACCCCCCTCCAACCACTCCTCACCCCCTGCTTATGCTCTTCATTGTCTCTTTCTCTGATACTACTAACCTACCCTCACATCTCCACCCCTCTCCCCACCCCACTTCATCCCCCCCCCCCACCCCCCTCCACCCCCCTCCACCCCTCTCCACCCACCCACAGAACAAAATCTGGTACCTAAACTCTTCCAACCCAAGCCATCTCCTCACCCTCCCCCTCGACCAGCCGCCCTCCGCACCCATCCGCACCGCACTGGACCCCGCGGATCTCCCCACACACATCTCCACATCGCTCTCGCACCTCTCTGAATCCCTCCAAGCCCAGCTGGACCGCTCTCTTTGGCCGCGCCACCTCTCCTTCCCCCTCGCCGCCTCCGCCTCATCGGCCTTCTTCATCCCACAAAGGCTGGTCGACTCTGCTGCTCTGCACGTCATCCCTGTATTCGCTGCCGAGGCCATACCTGCACAGGTAAGAGTGTGTTCCTTCCCATGGTGTGTGCCTGAGTGTGTGCTTGCGTGTGTGCGTCCTCGGGTGAGAACAGGTCGCCTTCCCCTCGTCGGCCGTCTTAATCCCACAAAGGCTGGTCGACTCTGCTGCTCTGCACGTCATCCCTGCATTCGCTGCCGAGGCAAGGCAGTACCCGCACAGGTATGCGTGTGTGTGTGTGTGCTTGAGCGTGTGGGTCCGTGGGTGGGACTAAACCTGGTCGACTCTGCTGCTCTGCACGTCATTCCTGCATTCGCTGCCGAGGCAAGGCAGTACCCGCACAGGTATGCGTGTGTGTGTGTGTGTGTGCTTGAGCGTGTGGGTCCGTGGGTGGGACTAAACCTGGTCGAATCTGCTGCTCTGCACGTCATTCCTGCATTCGCTGCCGAGGCAAGGCAGTACCCGCACAGGTATGCGTGTGTGTGTGTGTGCTTGAGCGTGTGGGTCCGTGGGTGGGACTAAACCTGGTCGAATCTGCTGCTCTGCACGTCATTCCTGCATTCGCTGCCGAGGCAAGGCAGTACCCGCACAGGTATGCGTGTGTGTGTGTGTGCTTGAGCGTGTGGGTCCGTGGGTGGGACTAAACCTGGTCGACTCTGCTGCTCTGCACGTCATTCCTGCATTCGCTGCCGAGGCAAGGCAGTACCCGCACAGGTATGCGTGTGTGTGTGTGTGTGTGCTTGAGCGTGTGGGTCCGTGGGTGGGACTAAACCTGGTCGAATCTGCTGCTCTGCACGTCATTCCTGCATTCGCTGCCGAGGCAAGGCAGTACCCGCACAGGTATGCGTGTGTGTGTGTGTGCTTGAGCGTGTGGGTCCGTGGGTGGGACTAAACCTGGTCGACTCTGCTGCTCTGCACGTCATTCCTGCATTCGCTGCCGAGGCAAGGCAGTACCCGCACAGGTATGCGTGTGTGTGTGTGTGTGCTTGAGCGTGTGGGTCCGTGGGTGGGACTAAACCTGGTCGAATCTGCTGCTCTGCACGTCATTCCTGCATTCGCTGCCGAGGCAAGGCAGTACCCGCACAGGTATGCGTGTGTGTGTGTGTGTGTGCTTGAGCGTGTGGGTCCGTGGGTGGGACTAAACCTGATCGAATCTGCTGCTCTGCGCGTCATTCCTGCATTCGCTGCCGAGGCAAGGCAGTACCCGCACAGGTATGCGTGTGTGTGTGTGTGCTTGAGCGTGTGGGTCCGTGGGTGGGACTAAACCTGGTCGACTCTGCTGCTCTGCACGTCATTCCTGCATTCGCTGCCGAGGCAAGGCAGTACCCGCACAGGTATGCGTGTGTGTGTGTGTGCTTGAGCGTGTGGGTCCGTGGGTGGGACTAAACCTGGTCGACTCTGCTGCTCTGCACGTCATTCCTGCATTCGCTGCCGAGGCAAGGCAGTACCCGCACAGGTATGCGTGTGTGTGTGTGTGCTTGAGCGTGTGGGTCCGTGGGTGGGACTAAACCTGGTCGACTCTGCTGCTCTGCACGTCATTCCTGCATTCGCTGCCGAGGCAAGGCAGTACCCGCACAGGTATGCGTGTGTGTGTGTGTGCTTGAGCGTGTGGGTCCGTGGGTGGGACTAAACCTGGTCGACTCTGCTGCTCTGCACGTCATTCCTGCATTCGCTGCCGAGGCAAGGCAGTACCCGCACAGGTATGCGTGTGTGTGTGTGTGCTTGAGCGTGTGGGTCCGTGGGTGGGACTAAACCTGGTCGACTCTGCTGCTCTGCACGTCATTCCTGCATTCGCTGCCGAGGCAAGGCAGTACCCGCACAGGTATGCGTGTGTGTGTGTGTGTGCTTGAGCGTGTGGGTCCGTGGGTGGGACTAAACCTGGTCGAATCTGCTGCTCTGCACGTCATTCCTGCATTCGCTGCCGAGGCAAGGCAGTACCCGCACAGGTATGCGTGTGTGTGTGTGTGTGTGCTTGAGCGTGTGGGTCCGTGGGTGGGACTAAACCTGGTCGACTCTGCTGCTCTGCACGTCATTCCTGCATTCGCTGCCGAGGCAAGGCAGTACCCGCACAGGTATGCGTGTGTGTGTGTGTGTGCTTGAGCGTGTGGGTCCGTGGGTGGGACTAAACCTGGTCGAATCTGCTGCTCTGCACGTCATTCCTGCATTCGCTGCCGAGGCAAGGCAGTACCCGCACAGGTATGCGTGTGTGTGTGTGTGCTTGAGCGTGTGGGTCCGTGGGTGGGACTAAACCTGGTCGAATCTGCTGCTCTGCACGTCATTCCTGCATTCGCTGCCGAGGCAAGGCAGTACCCGCACAGGTATGCGTGTGTGTGTGTGTGCTTGAGCGTGTGGGTCCGTGGGTGGGACTAAACCTGGTCGACTCTGCTGCTCTGCACGTCATTCCTGCATTCGCTGCCGAGGCAAGGCAGTACCCGCACAGGTATGCGTGTGTGTGTGTGTGTGCTTGAGCGTGTGGGTCCGTGGGTGGGACTAAACCTGGTCGAATCTGCTGCTCTGCACGTCATTCCTGCATTCGCTGCCGAGGCAAGGCAGTACCCGCACAGGTATGCGTGTGTGTGTGTGTGCTTGAGCGTGTGGGTCCGTGGGTGGGACTAAACCTGGTCGACTCTGCTGCTCTGCACGTCATTCCTGCATTCGCTGCCGAGGCAAGGCAGTACCCGCACAGGTATGCGTGTGTGTGTGTGTGTGCTTGAGCGTGTGGGTCCGTGGGTGGGACTAAACCTGGTCGAATCTGCTGCTCTGCACGTCATTCCTGCATTCGCTGCCGAGGCAAGGCAGTACCCGCACAGGTATGCGTGTGTGTGTGTGTGTGCTTGAGCGTGTGGGTCCGTGGGTGGGACTAAACCTGATCGAATCTGCTGCTCTGCGCGTCATTCCTGCATTCGCTGCCGAGGCAAGGCAGTACCCGCACAGGTATGCGTGTGTGTGTGTGTGCTTGAGCGTGTGGGTCCGTGGGTGGGACTAAACCTGGTCGACTCTGCTGCTCTGCACGTCATTCCTGCATTCGCTGCCGAGGCAAGGCAGTACCCGCACAGGTATGCGTGTGTGTGTGTGTGCTTGAGCGTGTGGGTCCGTGGGTGGGACTAAACCTGGTCGACTCTGCTGCTCTGCACGTCATTCCTGCATTCGCTGCCGAGGCAAGGCAGTACCCGCACAGGTATGCGTGTGTGTGTGTGTGCTTGAGCGTGTGGGTCCGTGGGTGGGACTAAACCTGGTCGACTCTGCTGCTCTGCACGTCATTCCTGCATTCGCTGCCGAGGCAAGGCAGTACCCGCACAGGTATGCGTGTGTGTGTGTGTGCTTGAGCGTGTGGGTCCGTGGGTGGGACTAAACCTGGTCGACTCTGCTGCTCTGCACGTCATTCCTGCATTCGCTGCCGAGGCAAGGCAGTACCCGCACAGGTATGCGTGTGTGTGTGTGTGCTTGAGCGTGTGGGTCCGTGGGTGGGACTAAACCTGGTCGACTCTGCTGCTCTGCACGTCATTCCTGCATTCGCTGCCGAGGCAAGGCAGTACCCGCACAGGTATGCGTGTGTGTGTGTGTGCTTGAGCGTGTGGGTCCGTGGGTGGGACTAAACCTGGTCGACTCTGCTGCTCTGCACGTCATTCCTGCATTCGCTGCCGAGGCAAGGCAGTACCCGCACAGGTATGCGTGTGTGTGTGTGTGTGCTTGAGCGTGTGGGTCCGTGGGTGGGACTAAACCTGGTCGAATCTGCTGCTCTGCACGTCATTCCTGCATTCGCTGCCGAGGCAAGGCAGTACCCGCACAGGTATGCGTGTGTGTGTGTGTGCTTGAGCGTGTGGGTCCGTGGGTGGGACTAAACCTGGTCGACTCTGCTGCTCTGCACGTCATTCCTGCATTCGCTGCCGAGGCAAGGCAGTACCCGCACAGGTATGCGTGTGTGTGTGTGTGTGCTTGAGCGTGTGGGTCCGTGGGTGGGACTAAACCTGGTCGAATCTGCTGCTCTGCACGTCATTCCTGCATTCGCTGCCGAGGCAAGGCAGTACCCGCACAGGTATGCGTGTGTGTGTGTGTGTGTGCTTGAGCGTGTGGGTCCGTGGGTGGGACTAAACCTGGTCGACTCTGCTGCTCTGCACGTCATTCCTGCATTCGCTGCCGAGGCAAGGCAGTACCCGCACAGGTATGCGTGTGTGTGTGTGTGTGCTTGAGCGTGTGGGTCCGTGGGTGGGACTAAACCTGGTCGAATCTGCTGCTCTGCACGTCATTCCTGCATTCGCTGCCGAGGCAAGGCAGTACCCGCACAGGTATGCGTGTGTGTGTGTGTGTGCTTGAGCGTGTGGGTCCGTGGGTGGGACTAAACCTGATCGAATCTGCTGCTCTGCGCGTCATTCCTGCATTCGCTGCCGAGGCAAGGCAGTACCCGCACAGGTATGCGTGTGTGTGTGTGTGCTTGAGCGTGTGGGTCCGTGGGTGGGACTAAACCTGGTCGACTCTGCTGCTCTGCACGTCATTCCTGCATTCGCTGCCGAGGCAAGGCAGTACCCGCACAGGTATGCGTGTGTGTGTGTGTGCTTGAGCGTGTGGGTCCGTGGGTGGGACTAAACCTGGTCGACTCTGCTGCTCTGCACGTCATTCCTGCATTCGCTGCCGAGGCAAGGCAGTACCCGCACAGGTATGCGTGTGTGTGTGTGTGCTTGAGCGTGTGGGTCCGTGGGTGGGACTAAACCTGGTCGACTCTGCTGCTCTGCACGTCATTCCTGCATTCGCTGCCGAGGCAAGGCAGTACCCGCACAGGTATGCGTGTGTGTGTGTGTGTGCTTGAGCGTGTGGGTCCGTGGGTGGGACTAAACCTGGTCGAATCTGCTGCTCTGCACGTCATTCCTGCATTCGCTGCCGAGGCAAGGCAGTACCCGCACAGGTATGCGTGTGTGTGTGTGTGTGCTTGAGCGTGTGGGTCCGTGGGTGGGACTAAACCTGATCGAATCTGCTGCTCTGCGCGTCATTCCTGCATTCGCTGCCGAGGCAAGGCAGTACCCGCACAGGTATGCGTGTGTGTGTGTGTGCTTGAGCGTGTGGGTCCGTGGGTGGGACTAAACCTGGTCGACTCTGCTGCTCTGCACGTCATTCCTGCATTCGCTGCCGAGGCAAGGCAGTACCCGCA